ATTTAAAAATTAGAATATATTTTAAAAATAGTCATAAAGAATTATATAATTCTTATATTTACATGTAAGTCCAAAAATCTAACCATATACAACCTTGAAGCAGGACAGTCCCACAACAGAACCTTTTGCAAATTGAAAGTCATCAAGTGAGTGTGCTCAGATGCCTCATAGTCAGTCAAGTCCACAGCTTTTGGCTTGCAAACATGTTCAAAGTTGATTGTTTTGGTATAGCTTGCAGTATAGCAGAGAACAAAAATGAATTTGGGTGTATTGATAACTATTTGGACAACACAGTGTGTATAAATCAAGTTATTGTCTTCTATATGGGAACAGAACTTCTTCACTTTATCAATTAGGATGTTAGCCTATTCTCTCCAACCCAACACACACACACACACACACACATCCTTTTTTACATCTGCTGGCCAAACTGACCCCAGGTTCCTCAGCTGAAAGTGTGAGTCCAGTTTTGTTGACCACTGAGGCGCTGGCCTCAGGGCTCCCCTCATCACGGTAGTGGACTCATGCTTTTGTAGTCTGAGCACCTGTTATTCTCTGCTTGTTTTTCTCTGGGTCTTCTCACATGCTGTCAGACAATGCTTTAGCAGTTCTTAGAGACTTCTAGCATTTGCCTGGTACCAAAACAAAACGCTCTACTTGTCAGGATATTTGGGGATACTTGTGCCAAAAGTTAGAATTGTCTATGCAAATAATAATTATAAGGGGAAAGTATATAAAGTATTTAGAATGCCATCAAAGGCCCAGATGGTAACACATCACATTAACAAATGCATATTCCTGGGAGTCCAGGTTTGTTTTAAGCCTGTTGCATCTCTCTTCTCTTTCTTTGTCTCCTGATTTGGAGCTGTGACAACATGTAAGGAGAAGTGACTCTGAGAGTTATATTACAACTTACAGCAGAAGTACCAAAGATAATGTCATTTGTTATCTACCAAGATTGGTCTTGGATAGTGGCTGCTTCCATTTGTGGGTGGTGGCAGTGACAGCAGCATTTCCTGGAGGCCTGTGTGCCTTTGAACTTTCATGACGTGGTGATGCTGGCAAGTAGGTCACCTGATCATTGCTAAACCGCATGGTTCCTGCAAAGCTGGGTACCGTCATCACAGCAGCTAGAAGGTAGACCCTCCATGCATCTCACCATGGTTTCAGGATCCTGGAAGTTGGCTGAATGTTATTAAGTGAAGGAACTTCCTCCAGGGTCAACACTTGGCTTTGTGTGGACTCTGGAGGCTGGGAGAGAAGACATAATATGAGACTTCACTTCTGTATTCTGGGACTCTTAAACCTGCTAGAAATAGCAATATGTTGCATTTTGAGGGGAACTCAATCCATGCTGGCTCCTGGGCAAGAACACCATGGTGTAGGGGGTGTTGGAGCAAAGGTGGTTGGGAGCAGCTCTGCCGCTGTCGTGCAGGATTGGGAAGTGGAGGCATCACCTGCAATGGAGGTGACTGCACCTGGACATATGTGGCAGGAAGGCATGCAGCCCTCTGCCCCCTGCTTTCCCCCTCCTCTATGGCTGCTGTTTATTCTTCTCATGTTTTATTCAAAACTTGGCTATTAAGAATTTCACTTTACTTGTTCATGCTTTGTAAGGGTGAAAAGTTTCGTCATAGATCTTTATACTACTTTTCAGATACTGAAAGACTAACTTTATGATTTTTTACTCAGTTGCATACTAAAGTGATAGGGGAAATAATTTTAAAATATTTCTCCATGTACCTTCCAAAGAGAGTAGTGTTCGGTGCAAAGCTGTCAGGCGATAATAGTGAGAAAAGATAGTGCCCTGAAAGACATTCCTAATGTTGTAGCAGAAAATGCCACCCCCCCACCAAGATATTTCACTTTCTGTTAGTTTCCCAGGTAACCTCCAGTTCAGTTCCTGTTGCAGTTATTGTGACTTCCTAGACCATAATAAACTCAGGACTTAGTAATTACTCATTCTTACAGTTTTGGTAGTTACCATTTGGAAAGAGTAATTTGCCCCAGTTACTAGAACCACTCAGTTTCTTTCAAGTCAAATAAAACTAAAATCCCAGAGAATCTGTTTACACTTTTTAAATTTTTTTTTTTTACAAAAATGCATGGAATTCAATACATCATTCACGTATCCACAATAGCAGAGAACTGTGATGACGGACCGTCCCCATAGGAGACATGTGTGCTTTGGTTAACATAAATCATAAAAATAACCCTTAAGACAAGAGCAATACGCATACAAATGACTAAAACATGATGAGGGGCAGGAAACACTAGGAGGCTTAGTGATCATGGAGAATAAAGTGCTTCTCATTGAGAGCTATCTGGCTCAGGTGACCTTCCCTGAGGACATCATGCTTCGTTAAGCTCTAGGTATTCCATGTACTCCTGCACCCAGGGCTCACTGGGGTTGGCACAGACTTGCTTGCCTCTTTTGGTTTGGAATCTGTAGAACAAGAAGGAGACAGATTAGAATCCAATGGAGCCTTTGAAATCATCTGCTACTATTCTTTCCCGATCCTGGACATCTCCCTTTGCTTGACCCCAGTGCATGTTGGACAGCTCTAGTGAATGGGCCCCTTCCTGGAGGCACTGAAGCCAGGCTCCCTTGACTTCCTGCCCTGGATTGAGCTATGACCCTAGAGTATTCCTAGATTAAGAACCAATGAGTTTTGCAATCAATAAAAATTTATCTCCTCATTCCCTACCACTGCTTACAGTATTATTTTGTGTTTTCTAGCATGGGGAAATCAGACTGCATTTCATGTAATCCTTTTTACTCTTCCTACTTCTCTGCCCTGAGGCTAGAGATCTCTCCAGGAACCCTTTATTCTTTTTTTTTTTTTTGTCATTAATTCATCCTGTTTCATGACCAAACAATGACTTCATAATCTGTTTCTTTACTACTCTTGGGAGGGATTCAGCCTGAGAACCACTTCTCTAATTCTTGGTCATATTCTGTCCCTAACTGGCCTCTTTTCAATCCTGCCTTCACCCTTGCCTACCAGAGCACCCCCAGGATTGATACTCACACCACAGCTGGCTGGGGGCAGAGGCTGCTGGTCTCGTAGTAATCAGTCACAAAGTTGCGAGGCAACTTCCGCTGGGTGAAAGAGAAGCAGCAGGCTGTGGGAGGGTCTGAGCCCACTGGAAGGAAAAGTCAGGGTGAAATCAAATGTTCAAGCAATGGCTGTGACTCATGCAGATGGCTGACACTGACAAGAGTAAATTCTAAGGTGATTGACTGGCCTTGCCAGATACAAAAGTTACACTTTTTGTTATATAGTTCTTGCTTTATCTTGATCTTAACCATTCAGCAGAAAAGTATAAACACAAGGTATAAAAATTAAAGCTATTAATATGGTGAGTTCAAGTCAACAACTCTTGACATTGCAGTTCTGCAGATAACCCACTACTATTATGGATTACTGGACTATATTGGATTATTTTGCTGAATTCACACAATACAATATTTGAATTACAGTGGAATACTCATCTCTGACAAAAGTAAACAAAAAAGGGGTATGTAAATGAAGGACCATTTTGTAATGAATGAAATATATATGTATATACAAAATAGGATAGATATACAGCTACTGTCTCTTCGTTCAGTGAGAAGATTTGTAGTACTAGTGTTTAGACAAGATGTCATGTCTATATCTTGTCCTATGAATAGCTACTATGAAGACAATACGCAAGGTATTAATTATTGTAACTGTCATACTAACCTGTTTTATAACTGTCTCATTGTTATTTCTTTCTCAATAAAATTATTTTTTAAAAAACTCTACATGGACCTGTTCATATTGGCTTCCAGCTATGGATCTTCACTGACACCTCTGTGGCACTGTAGTAACCCCTAATATACTTCCTTGTAATCCCCACCCACTTATGTAGATAGAAGATCTTCAGGGAAGACAAGAAAGAATTCTACAAAATTGGAACCTGATTGAGTTGAGAACATGTCTCATTGTCTTTGTGTTATAGGTGGGAAACTAAGGTTGAGTCAGTCATGGAAAGTTTAATTCAGTAATCAGAGATAGAGGCAATTCAGTGGTTTGACCTCTAACCCATCCTTATCTTCTCCTGCTTGTTCATCCTAAGAAAGTGGGAGTTTGAATATTCCTGAACATCTCCTAGACTCTGCACTGAGCAATGAACTCCCTGGAAATCTTCCTAGCTCCCATTTCTTTCCTCACCAGACCCTGCGTGGGACCAGCCCCAGGAAAAGAGTATATTCTGACTCCCTCTTAACTCCAGGAATGAAGGAGAAAGTTTGGACTTACTTGGTGCAGAGAGCACTGGAGAGCAGAAGGCAGCCCCGATCACAAGGAGAGAGAGGACTGTCATGCAGAATTTCATGGTGAAGCTACAGCCAAGATTTCAGAGATCAGAAGCTGGGGGGAGAACTGAGACTGAAGATCTCAGAAGAGCTGGGGAGCTTGAGAAGAGCTTCAGGTCCTGTGCTTTGTGCTGATCTGAGTTTGGAACCCCTCTTTATAGGGACTCTGAAGCCACAGACAGCAGTGGGGGAATAGGAGATAAGTGGGATTTCCATGGTTGCAATGATGTCACACTACTAATAAGGAAACTTAAACTAGCTGAAAGTGAAGAATTCTCTACAGCTTCTCTTTCTCAGGATGATGTCATCATGGAAGTAGGAGGAGGGAGTTGGAGGGGAAAAGTGGGCTGTGCCTTAGAGGAAGTGGTAGACCAATGACAGTGACTGGAGTAAGTGCTGCAGGTCTGAGAGGCAATGTGAGTTCACACCTGGTAGCAAGGCTGGCAGAAAAGGAACAAACGGTCTTGATGGTTGGCACTAGCAGAACCTGGAACTTCCTGTCAGTCCTTCCAGGTTAGCTGTGTCCTCCAGAATAAATGGAGAGAGTGACCATAGAGGGGAACCACTGAACACTATGAGCGCTTCAAACAAAAAGACCCATCTGTAAGGACTGCATTCAGGAGAGAGGGTGGGTTTGCCTCTCCACAAACAGGGTGTGAATGGAAAAGAAATAAAAACTTCAGGGTATTTTCCATTAAGAAAATTGTAGAAAAAGGGGCTGGGGGGATGGCTCAGCAGAATAAGCACTTGCCAGGCAAGCTGAAGGGTCTGAGTTCAATCCCCAGTTCCACAAAAGAAAAAGAAAGAAAGAAAGAAGAAAAGAAAGAAAGAAAGAAAGAAAGAAAGAAGAAAGAAAGAAGAAAAAAAGAAAGAAAGAAGGAAAGAAAGAAAGAAAGAAAGAAAGAAAGAAAGAAAGAAAGAAAGAAAGAAAGAAAGAGGAAAGAATTAGCAAGTATCAAGTGAGGAAAAGTGAAGTAAAGAATGCTTTTCTACTATGCCTATAGGATTGACTACCTACAGATGAATGTATCTGTGTTACAGATGAATATGAATGGTTCCCAAGAACTCCATAGGGAATGCTTCATGTCCCTGTAATCCCTGATTGGTTTCCCAGCTCCTGGTAGCCTAACTAGGAAAGATAGTTTCCCAATGCCCAGACCACAGTAGTGTATGGAATAAGGAGAAGGGAAATTCAGATGATTGGGCCAAAATTTCCCCCACCATTTATTTAGCTCTGTGATCCTCCTGCTCACCACAAACTTACATTTGAAACTGCTATGCTCTGAGAAGGAAAATAGGAGAGTGTAAAGAGGAATACAGTCCTCCTGGATGCTTTCAATCTATGGTATAGGAGGGGTCATAACAGGATTGAGGGACATTTCTGTGTCAGTTGCTAGGGTACAAGGTCATCCTACCTCATCACACACACACAGACTGCTCTGGCCTCTTTCCTCTGTTCTTTCTGTCCTCACCCTTTTCTTCGTACATGATTTGCTTCAAATACCCTGAATTCCCCAAGACTCCTATCCTCTCTTTAGAGTTCTGTCATCCTTGGTAGTCCACATGCTCTCTCCTGTGGTCTCTGATCAAGTTTCATCTGCTTGACTCAAGGTCATGTCTTTCAACAGAGGTGAACGCGTCAGATGTCCCCAGATCCACACACGCTTGGTTACCCAGGGCATTTCAACACAATCTGGATTTATAGACATCTACTGTTTTTCAAGGCAGACATAGCTGAATGAAGACTTCCTTCAAGAACACCATGTTCTAGGGATGAGTTGAGAGCCACAGAAATACTTGGCTTGGGGAGAAACAAGCCAAGTGGCATGCCAGTAGTTGAAACAAAGCATCATGGAACATGAGGATGAATGTTATCCCTCAGGTGAAGATCAGTAGTTCTGAATTAAGTTTGAATCTCCTACTTTCTAAAGGAGACCCCTCAATCATCCACCATTGCAGATTTCCCATTTCCTGAGGGATGGTGGAGACTTCTGCCCTGGGATATTGGGTGAAAGAGAGATGGGAATGGGTGATTTGTCTGTAAAGCAAGGATCTCCTTCTGAAGACAGGCTCCCAAGAGAAGAATGAAGAAGAACTCTAGACAAGACCTGGGTTGTGTCTCAGACACATCTACAGCTTTCATGTTCTATGTAGACAAACCAAAGTATGGATGGGTTGAAGGACTTGCTTAAGCAAGTCATTATAGGCAGAGACAAATGAAGGCCAGAATTCCTTTTTCATTTAATTTTTTTTGGTGGTGATACTAAGGATGAATCAGGGCCTTCACTCTGGGCTACAAGCCTATCCTTCTTAGAACAATTTTTTCTTTTAAGTTTTAAGACAGGGTCTCACTAAGTCACTAAATTTTTTACGTTGGGCTCGAACTTTTGATCCTTTATCTTCAGTCTTTCAGAGTTTTGGGATTACATGTGTGTGCCACCATGCCAGGGTTAGTTCTTAATTCATAAGCAAGCAGGAACTTGAATATCACTGTCTACTACAAAGTAAGGAATCTCTGGTGACAATCAGTAACAGGGATTGAACTCGGGTCCTTGTACTTGCCAGGAAGGTACTTAGACCACTGAGGTATCTCCCCAGCCCAAACCTGTCCTCTTCTAAAACAGTGTTGAGATTCAATAATGTTGAGGAGACCTCTGGTTGTCAGAAGCAGGAGCACCAGACTTACAGAGCTACTATGTCTAGAGCTAGGGAATCACTTGAGGGCAAATGTAGAGACTGAAAAACCAAAGTGACCCAGAGCATTAATCAAGATCATAAGCCAAGAAGAGATGATAACTACATTTTTCCCAGTACTATATCCAATTCATTTTGCAGAAATTGAATTACAAATTGAAAGGATGAATGCACAGTTATTCAGTGGGAATGGAGAACCCCTGAACCCTGAGTTGACTGAGGAATACCTCATCAGGACTGCCACACTGTGACCACCATGGCAGCTTGCTTCCTTCTATTAAAGTGACAATGGGCCTTTGTCACATGCCACAACCTTTGCTCTGGCCATGAAGAATGAAAGGCAGTGACTTTAGAGAATGCTAAATTTCAAAGAGAATTGCAAGCCTGGCAGGTATAGGGTGGTTCAAGAACATTTTCAGTATTCCTTATGGAACACTTTCCTTTGAATAGTGCTTTTATTTTGTTTCTAGTCTTTTCCATACAGATTCTAGGCAGTGCTTAAGAAAAAAATAGTTGTTCAAAACTATATTAACTCCCATGTGACAGGCACTGTGTCAGATGTTAGGGGGTTCATGCTTTTTGATCATAATAGTGAAAAATCAAGAAAGACTTCCAGAAAGTGTGAAACCTTAAGGTTTTAAAAATTATATTCCTTTGTTTTTCTTGTATAGAAAGCATAGTCAGTATATAATAAGAAATTCTAGGAAGTAAAAAATAAAATGACTCAATCATACTGTATTTTATTCTATATTTTACTATGAGGATTTAATATTATTTCTTGGATTAATATGTCATAGTGTGTTTCTTTGCATTAATGAATGCATGATATTTCTTTGAGTTATATACAAATTTTAGCCATTCTGCTATTCAGGTCAATTACTTGAAACAATTCTAACCTTTCTTCTATTACAAGTTGAACTAAGATTTGAAAAAATGATTGGCTAAACTAAGAGTGCAGGGTGAGTTATTCAGTCAAAACCCAAGCTTCTTATATATGTTAAAATTATAAACTCTATGCATTGTGTTCTCCTGCATGTTGGGTGACTGCAGATAATTTTAATGTGTTGTGTTTTTCCAAATGGCTAGAAGAAAGGATTTTGAACGTCATTACCACAAAGGAATGGTAAGTAAGGAGATGGATAGACTTACCCTAGTTTGAGCACTACACAATGTATATTTGTATCAAAACAGCGTGTGACACCTGGGAGTGGTGGAACACATATGCGATCCCCACACTTGGGAGGCTGAGGCAGGATGATCACTGCAGTTCAATCCCAGCCTACGCTACACAGTGAATTCAAAGCCAGTCTGAACTACATGGTGAGACCATATCTTGAACAAATCAAATCGAAACCATACCGAACCAAACCAAAGCATTATGGTGTAACCATAAACATGTACAATTTCTACGTGCCAATTTAAAAATTTTAATTAAAAATGTTAGAAATTTAAATGATCACGATAATAAGAGCTAACACTTAGCACTGCATTTACTGTAAGCCAGTACTATCTTTGTGCTTTCACAGATACTGCTATATTTAATCCTCGCAGAGGCCCATTGAAGTAGGTACTATTACTACCTCCTTCTGCACATGAGGGCACTGAAACACAGAGGGTAAGTGACTCATGGAAGAACACGATGATGATACTCAATAGATTTAGAACAAAACTAAGCAAGTCCTGGTACAGAGGTAAGGAAATTTGAAAGGGAAATGTACTTTATTACAAATTCATGCTAAAAGCTCAACAGCCAAAGTCTTGTTATTACGACATAAAATGTCTTTCAGTTTTGCATTTTACATGATTTTGAACAGCAGAAACAAAGGAATTCTGTATTTTTTTAGCAAGTTTGGGGAATTTAATAGTGGTTTTCATTATTTGTTTACAATATTAATCCCTGAGGCATCCACAGCATGAGATCATGCCTAATGTGTTTCGGTTGTGCCCTGTATTTGTAAAAAGGGAAAATTGCTTTACCAGGCTGATACTTCAGTGTTAAAAACAGGAGCGAGACTTGTACATTTAGGGAACTGTAGACAGCTCAGAATGGCTGCATCTTGGTTTTGAGGAAGTTTAAAGGAGGTAAATTGCAGAGCCAAAGAGGTTGGTGGGAGAGGGGGTTGGGTCGCAGCCAGGGTCACATCATGGGGAAGCTTCTATTTCCTACAGCAATCAATGCAGTGGATTTGGAGAGCATCATCAGAGGCAGACAGGAACCAATCTACACTCCAGAAAAATTGCAATAGGTGCTGTGGAGGGAGGTTAAATCAAGGGGCAAACTGGATCAAAAGCCAGTATCTCAGCTGTCCTGACAGCGATGGTGGTGCAAATCTAAAGACTCCGCTCAGGCAGCATGAGGGAGTGGAACGTAGATGTTCAGAAGGACAATATAGATCAGAGCTGAGGATTAATAGATGTAGGAGAGGATGAAGAGGAATAAAAAGTGACTTCTAAGCTTCTAGCTTGGGATACCTAACAGAAGAGATGCATTTGTTGGGTAGAGCTTACAGCAGGAGTCAGGTGGAAG